TCAGCAGGGCCTGGCGGGCAGCCACCCGTGCGCGTGGACATTCCTTGCATAGCTGCAGCGGGTGCCCAGGCAGGCCATGGCGCTTCCTGGCAGCCTGTGTGCCATGGCCCTGCAGAGCAGCACCAAAATAGTCACTGGGACTGTGCCATGGCCACAGCCCGAGCTGGCACACTCACTATCCCTCTGCTCTGGGGTGATCCCTAAGGAAAGCCTTTTCCCAGTAGCTGGGGTTCCCCAGAGGTGGAGTATGGTGCATGATGCCAGGCATGACGCCCACAGTGCAGGGCTGTGGGTGCCAGAGGGACTGGGAAGCACGAGGCACCTGGGCACAGCCTGCTCCTCACAGCCAGGGGCTCTGGGAAGGTTGTGGAGGGCTGACCCCTTCCCAGGGGATCACCCACATCCATAGATGAAGCTCTCCAGCTGGGCACCGCGCTGCACGCCAGTGAAATGGAGCTGCAGGTTCATGCCCACTTCATACCCTCAAGGCGCAGGGGCCAGGCACTCCTGAGGGTATCCTCTCCCTCCTCCTCCTTCTCCTGTCATACTCTTCCTTGGGCATCTGTGCCCGGCTCGGGGTCTGCACAGCTGTGCTGTGGGGGGTGAATGTCCTGAGCCTGCCGTGCTCCCAGAGGAAGCACCACATACCCTTCCTAACCGCACCTCTCCATGCCCTGTTCCCGCAGCTCCTGGTCCCGGCACGTGCCAAAACAGGGCTGGGGGCAGGCAGGACTGGAGTGCTGCACAGAGGCTGTGCCGCCAGCTCGGCTCCTCCATACCCGGGGCCACGGGCTGTGTCCCGCCATCAAGAGACTGTTTGCGGTTGCACCATGTGCGCGAGCCGGGAGCGGATCCCGTCCCCGCGGCTCGGCTCAGACATACCTGAGCGCTGGGGCAGCGCTTACGCAGACAGAGGGGCTGAGTCACTGCGGCGGGATCACCCGGCACGGACAGCGGCTCCAGGAAACGGCACTTACGTGGTGTAAACACATCCCGGCATTGTGCCTGGGCCGAGTGGCCCCGGGGGTGCAAGGGAGAAATCAAACCAGATCTGAGGTTTTTTCATTAAAAAATAGTGCTCTTTATTATAAATTATGGAAACATTTCCTTTCTGAATATAAATATAAATATGTGCAAAGTTTCATCTGAGTTTGGTTTTGGTTGAATTTTCAAGCATGGTTTTGCTCAGCCCTCGAGGCTGGAGGTGAAGATGGAATCTTTATAAAAGACAGTGATTCACGTTGGCCTGTAAACATCCCTTTGGTTAAAAAAAATAATAAAAATTAAAAAAAAAGCCAGAAAAACCCAACAACTTCTCTGGGCGGATGCAGAAAAGCACTCATGAGACGACACGCTCCAGGGGATCCTCCCGCCACGTTCCTGCAGGAATCGGTGCCACAGGAGCAGCGTGGCCGGGGTCTGTGGGAGCGGCTGGGCAGAGGTGGGGTGCAACTCCTGGTAGTAAGGGCCCGGGGTGCTCCTTGCAGACACGGTTGTGTGGGATTCAGCAGCATTGGGATGTGCCACTTCCCCTCTGGCTTCACATCAGCAGGACCTTCATCACGCAGCGTCACCAAATGATGTGCAGTAACCCAGATTGCGGGGCAGGGAGAATATTAAGGCTTAGTCCCCTGGAAAATGGCAACGAGGGAACAAAGGCAGCAACCTCCAAGTCTGGGGCCCGGTGTGAAAAGAGCTTCCACCCACAAGGAGGCAGTAAGAGGTAAAGTACAGTATGGGCAAAAAACGCCTTCCTCTTAAAACCGAGGAAAAGCGATCAGGCACTCCTGGGGTCCAGTGCTTTCAGTTCCTGGGGGCGGAAGGGGCTCTCACCAGGACACCCCCAGGATGGGGTTGCCGAAGTGCACGTTCCTCTGTGTCACAGGAGCCATCCTGGCTACTCGAGCCCACAGGAGTTTTGCCAATGGGCTCACTGTAACTTCCACAGTTCGGCTGGAGCCATCCCCCTTCCCTGTGGAGAGGAGGTGTCGTGCTTCCTCGGGGGTCCCCCCAGCACCAAAGGTGCCCAGCTATGCTGGCCACAGCCCTGGGCCCACAGCGGCTTTCCCCAGTCCCCCTCCTCTCCTTCCCAGAGGGAGAGGCTCGGCGTGCCCTGTGAGCTCCCATGCTGGTGGGGCATTGTGCCTGTCCCTTGCTCTTGTGCTTGTAGCGTGTGACCTTGCTCTGCTGGCCCCTTAGAGGGGGGCATCATACTGGTCCAGGAACTCCTTGATGGGGGCTGGCAGCTGAGTCATCTTTTCATAGGAGTCCAGGTGCCCGTTGACGGTCTTGCGGCACAGGTGCTGCAGGGTGGACACGCTGGAGGAGAGCGGGCGGCTCAGCACCAGGGGGATCTTCTCACCACCTGAGTAGATGTAGTAGGTGCGCTTGGGGTGCAGGGCCCCCCCCGGCTGCTCGGGGACGGTGCAGGGCGCGGGTGGCATGTAGTGATGGACCAGCTTGAGCACGCAGTCGAAGCGGGGCACGGGCTGGCTGCTGTGGGGGTCGCTCTGCAGGGAGAAGCTGCCGCCCTCACACTGGATGCGCAGGTTCTTGGTGCCCGACTCCGTCTTGACGCTGAGGGTGAAGAAGTGCCGCTGGTCTGAGCTGTCCCTGATGAGGAAGGTGCCGGCCGGCTCAGTGCTCAGCAGTAGGTTGGCCTCGCCGCCCGTCACTGTGCTCCAGTAGAAGCCACTCTCCTGCAGCTTGCGCACGGTGTTCACCACCAGCTGGTACTCGCTCTTGGAGCTGAACGTCTTGAGGCGCAGGCTGGTGTCGAGGGGGTGGCTCATCCCGGCAGCGGGGAACTTGCTGTGGGTGACCATGGCGCAGGGAGCCAGCTTCGCGTGCTCGGGGTGCTGCTGCCAGCAGCAGCCGCTGCTACACCATCACCTGCGGCAGAGACAGTGGTGAGCCACGGCACCTCGGTCCCCGACTCTCCCTTCCCGGGAACATCTGCACCGGCCAGGTCCCTGGCTGTTGTCCTCCGGCATCTCCGATTCTCCCTTCCCACAGCACCGGCACCCCCGCTCCCCGGCTCTCCGTTCCCGGGAGCACCGGCAGCTCCCGTCCCCGGCTCTCCCCTAGCCAGGGGCACCGCTTCTGCCGGTCTTCTGCTCTCACTCCCTGGGGAACATCGCTACCTCCGGTCACCAGCTATCGCCCCGCTGAGGCACCACCATCCCCGGTGATCCCCTTCTCTGGGCAGCAGCGGCAACTCCAGTTCCCGGCTGTCCGTTCCCAGCAGCACAGGCACTCCCGGCCCCGGCTGTCGCCCCGTCGGAGCGCCAGCATCCCCTGCTATCCCTCTTCCCTGGGCATCCCCGGTCCCTGGCGATCGCCTCCCCGGAGGTACCGGCATCCCCGGTGCCGGGCTCTCCCCCCTCCCTCTCCAGGACCCTGTCCCATCCCTCCCGAGGCCATACCTGGGGCACGGGAGCCGGTCCCGGCGGCGGAGCGAGACCGGCGCGCGGTGGCAGAGCTGCTGGGGCGGCCCGGGGCGGCCTCTTATAGCGGGCGCAGCGCCCGCCCTCGGGTTCCTGGAACTGCGCGGCTTCTTGTAACGCGGCGGCGCCGCCCGCGCCCCGCCCGGCCCGGCCCGGCCCCCCGGCACCCCGCCAGCCCCTGCTCCGCCAGCCCCCGGCCCGGCCTCGCTGGCCCCAGCCCCGGCCCCGCCAGCCCATTCCGGGCAGGGCGGCCGCCCCCGCCCCCCCGCGCCCCGCTCTGCGGAGAAAGGGAGAGCCCCGGCCCGGCCCCCCCGGGGGCCCCCACTGCCCCCCGCCTCTGCTGGGGGCCCAGACCCCCACCCCGGCGAGAGGGGTGGGCTCTGCTGACCGGGGATACCCCGGGGATGGGGATACAGGGGAGGGGCGGGTCACACCGGGGGGCTACACCGAAACGGGAGCTGCCGCCGTGCTGTGGGGCAGCGGGTCCCACATCCCCACGTCGCCAGCCCTCATTTTCAGGCCAACGTGCCGGGCTGCCGCCAGCGGGGGGGGACCCGCGGGGCAACAACGGGGAATCCCGGGCTGTGCGGGGGCTCCCGGCTCCGCGGCGGCTCGGCCATCGCGCTCGAACCCCGCTCCGTGCGGCCGCGGCGGCTTCGGGAGCCCCGCGACGATCCGTGGGGTCGGTGCCCGTCGGCGGGGCCATGTAGGCTGGTGTGGAGCCCGGCGGGACCGAGGCCCCCCCGGCCCTGGCTGCCCCCCCGGGGCTCTGTCCGAGGGGGTCCCTCGCCCCTCCTCCCCGCCCCCGGTAGGGACGGTGCCCGGCGGGTGGAGCGGTGCCGGGGTACCCCTCCCCACACGATTTCTCTGCATTTGGCATTGGTTACGACCTCGCACACAGCCCGGGCTCGGTCCGTGGGTTTATTTTAAACAGTTTAATTTTCCCCGGAGGAGCCGCCGCTGCCCGGCAGGGACCAACCCAGCGCGGCAGTTCTGGGAAGCGGCTGCGGCGAACGGGCTGCTCTGAAATGCAAACGAGCCCCGGAGCGCTGCCGGGGCGGGCAGGGGACACCGGGGGCGGGACGGGGCGGCTCCGGGGCCCCAGGGCGGGAGCGGGCGGGGGGACCTGCGGCCTCCGGGCTCCGCCTCGCCCTGCCCGCTGTGGGGGGACACGAATCCGACGAGGGGTGGGGGAAGGGGGGGTGTGGGCGCTCCCCTCCGCCACCGTCCCGAGGGGCGGCGAGCGCCGGTTCCGCCGCGGGCAGGAGCCGTGTCCGTCCTTTCGGAGCCTCTCGGCCGGGCCGGAGCTCGCCCCGGGGGGAGGAGAAGGGAGACCTGGGGGTGACACGGTTCGGGCCGTGCGTGAGCCCGTCCCACGTATGCGGGGACCAGGGGAGCCTCGTCCCGGCCCAGCCGGACACCGAGCCCTTTCCGAGCGCCCCCGGCCCCTCCTGGACCCGTGCCTGGGCCGGGCCCCCCCGGCAGCCGCGGGCCGGGCTCGGGCGGGGCGGGCGCGGCGAGGCCGCGGCGGCGGAAGCGGAAGGCGGTGTCGCCATGGCAGCGCGGAAGCGGAAGGCGCGGGTGATGGCGGCGGGCGGCGCGGCGCTGTGGCGGCGGCTCTCGGCCTGGCTGCCCCCGGCCTGGCTGCCCCGCGGCCGCCTCGGCCTGGCCGCGCTGCTCGGCCGCCTCTCTGACCGCCTCTCCCGCGGCCGCGACCGCCGCGCCCGCAGGTAAGGACCGGCCGGGCCCCGCCGGCTGCCCCCAGGGCCGGGAGGTGTCGCGTTACCGGGGCTCCCCCGCTCGCCGCTTCCCCTCTCTGGTCCGGCCGAACCCCTTGGAAACGCTACGGATGGGGAAAGGGGCGGCCTGGCTCCACCTGCCCGGAGTCGGGTCCGGCTCTGCTCCGCAGCCCGCTTTAGCCCGCCCCACTGTCCGATCGCCCTTAGGGCAACAGCTGAGCTTCATTTCCCCGTCATTCCCTGTTTTCTTGTCGCTCGGGCGCTGGCCGGGGCCAGACTCCCCTCGGCTGTCACAGGTGCAGCACAACCCGCGCGGGCCGAGGGGGTCGGGGAGGGCGAGACGCGGAAAGGGGCCGAGAAGAGGTGTCGGTCCCGGTTGTGCCGGGGCTGTGCCAGGCGGAGAGGGGCGAGGGGCAGGGGACACTGCCCGGCGGTGTCACCACGGTGGTGGAGGAGATGGATCATCAGTATGCTCTGTGTTCTTGGTTAAGCCAAGGAAATTCTTTCCACACCTCTCTCTTGGTCTCATCAGTATTTTTAGTGCAGATAAATGAGACTGAGCCCTGGAAAGCGACCACTGAGTTCAAAGAGCAGCAGTGTAGATCCTCCCGTGTGCGTGGGTGAAAGGACAACGTCGTGTCCCAGTTTCACTTCACCTCTGGCTCTGCAGATGAGGTTTGACAGTGAATAAGAGTTTCAGCTCCGTTGTGGGTGTCTGTACCAAACCCACGTCTTTAAAAATAGAACACACACCAGAAAATCCCTCATTTCTTTTTAGGGTCAGCTTTTTATGCAGAAGTGATGTGAGGTGGTTCCTTTTGGTTCCGTTTTCTCTTTTCAGTTTCCTCAGTGATGTGGAGTAGGGATGGGAAGGGCTCCCCCTGCCCCATCTTTTGTTCCTCTGAAACCTGGTTTGTCACAGTGTGGAATTTTGATGATTTCTTCATAATGTTACGTGTGTGTGTGGTTGGAGGGATTGGTGGTACTTGGGTACTGAGCTGATGTCAGTCACCAGCGGGTAGAAGCTGCTGCTTTGGGAGCTGGTTGCTGTGCCAGTGGTTCTGTGGCTGGAGCAAAATACAGATTTATCTGATAATTCTAGCAGAGAGTAGGCTCACTGCTGAATAAGGTGTAAATTTCAGTATTGGGTTAAAAGATCGAACAGTGTAGACACACTGTAAATTCTGTAGGCACAAAAAAATCTGGAGGATGGAATTAGTGGGGATCAATTGAACTGCAAAGAATTAATCTGAAGGCTCAAACCTTCAGAAGCACAAAAATAGTGCTGGTGCTGCAGGTTGATGTTCCTCCAAACGCTCCAATTAGAGCCCAAATGCTCCAAGCACAGCCCGGTGCTGCCTGCTGCCCCCAGAGCTGCCCCCAGAGCTGCCCCCAGAGCTGCCCCCAGAGCTGCCCCCAGAGCTGCCCCAGGCCATGGCAGGCAGGTGCAGGGCCACGGGCAGGGGGGCAGGTGCAGTCGGACTCGCAATTCCAATAGTCCTTGCCAGAAGGTGGCTTCTGGGAATCATGTTTCTGGAAAGTGTCTGCTTGGTTGCTGGTCTGGCTTCTGGAAGTGTAATTGGATTGGCCAGTGGCATACTGAGGACAATATCATCTCTGTTGATTTTTATTGTAAAATACATAAAATTTGCCACTGCTTCCTCACTGGGAATAATTCCAGAGGATGTTGTTTGTGACCCACGGGACCAGGTTAGAGCCTGACTGTGCCACTGCTCTGTGGGCCAAGCATTTGATGCATTTTAAAAACCTGTATTTCTGGATCCAGTGTGAATCCCTGTAGTTCTGTGTGCTGTGCTGCCTTGTGATGATGGAGCAGTGGGAATCTGCTCCCTGTTTGTGGCCTGTGAGACGTGACATGATCAGAGGTCCTACTCAGGTTCTGTAGAGACTGAAGAGAATGTGTCTGAAAAATGGTATTTCTTGTGTTTCTGTTCTGCTTTGATATTTTTGGCACCTTTTAGGGGATATTTGCATTGTTTTTTACAGCTTGTGCTGGTGATCTGTGTCACATCTGGGTATGCAGACCAAGCCCAGTCCACATGATCTGTTGAAACCCCCCATCCCAGGAATTCCTGCACAGATTGACTCAGATTTTGGTGGCGATGAATAGTCAGTGACAAACTTGTGGATTTTCCAGGAAACACCACTGCAAACTAGTTTCCTTGTAAGGGTATTTGGAAATCTTGTGAAGATCCAGGGTTGTATCATGAACCAGATGAGTGAAATCATCTTCCTGGAATCTGTGGTCATCTGGGCTCTGGACTGTGGTAAAACCCAAAAGTTCCGTGTAACAAGTTCTGGTAAAGGTTGTAATCAAGTTTCTTCGTGGTGTGTGGTGGCAGTGGAATCATCAGGATGGGCCACAGGATGGTGGCTGCCTGCTGTTCCTTGGGTGAGACCGACCACTCCAGTTCTGTCCCCAGAAGCCCGACTCCCACGAGCAGGGTTTGCAGACTGGAACGGTTCCTGTCGGGTCTGGGGATGCAGTTCAGTCCCTTGCTCATGGATTCCTGGATCTCATGGGAGCTGCTGCTGCTAATTGTGTTGAAATGTGGTTTTATCATGTGGACAGAGTCCTGCTGGGGGTTATTGTATGACTGGATGAATTTGCATGCGCGAAACCTCTGGAGAGAAGTTGCCACTTGCTTCCTGTCACCTCCAGCGTGACGCTGGCAGCAAGCTGTTTTTTTCCTGAAGTGATTTCAAGAGAATTAAATTTGTTCTGAAGTGTCTTTTTGAAGAATGAGCTTCCTGCTGTTTCCCTCACAGTTTTGTGAGGTTTGCAAGGGAAGTCATGATCCTCTTCTGTACCTGTGCAGAATGCTGGCAGCATTGATGAAGAGGGATGGATCCCTGTGGTGGTTCTTGGTGTGTTACTGCTGTGATGCACTTGCTCCTTTAGTGGGTCATTCTTGAGGCGTGACTGCCCTGCCTTTGCTGGGGCTTGCACTGAGGCATCTTGTGTGCTGCAGATCTATTTTTGGATAAAATTGAGGGATTGAGGCATTTTATTCTTTAGAGCAGTGTGATCTTTAAACATCTTTACCTAAAACAGGAACAACTTCAGCCCAGCTGGGAATGAAGCTGGACATGAGGGGAGTGTTGGCCATGGCCAAGCTGATGCATGTGTAATGGAGGTGATTCAGAAGTGGCTGATGACAGGTACAGGTGGTACCACTGCTGCACCGCCAGACACCTGAGCCCCCACACCCTCAGTTTCTGCAGCTCCCGGCCTCCTTCCTCTCCCGTGTTGTCCTGAAGAAGGAGTTGTTTCTCCTCATCTCCCTGCCAGCTTGGGGAAAGAGTTGGTGATGTTCAGATTTGTTCTGTCATCTTTTGCCTGTGTTTCTGTTTCCACATTTGGCTTTGGTGATCCAGCTGGGATTATGGAAAGGGAAAGGCATTCTTGCCACTGTGGATCCCTACCATGTATTGGCCCTGACTGTGGCTCTTTTTTTACCTCCTTGGAGGCTTTGTGGGAAGCAAAGCCTCCACCATAAAGAATTTCTCCATCTTTATTTCCACAGATCATCATGGCTTCTTCTTGCCCCACTGCTCACCCCTCCTGTTCCAGTGATCACAGCCCCACCGTGTTCGCTCTGTCCAGAAGGAGCACACAGGTTCCAGTGGATTGGGAATCTGGTCCCAGAGTTTGGGATCTCCAGCTCACACGTCAAGGTGCTTTCATCCCCTGCAGAATTCTATGAACTCCTGAAGGTAAGGCGTGGGCTCCAAGTTATGGGAATGGTTTTGATACAGTCCCAGTGTTGCAGCTGCTGCCTGGTAACTGCTCTTTTATGGAATAGTTTTAGCTGCAGGGAATGAGTTCCTCAGTTTCCCAGAAAGCACTGATTTCTTCCTTGAATTTTGGATGCAGCAATGGTGCTGCTATGGCTCTGCAGAGCCCCCTGTGTCATCCCTATCCCTGTGTCACCCTTTCCTCCCTTGAGGCCGGAGAGCCAGTGTGAGACGCGGCTGAAGGGATCCTCCTGGAGCACTGCTGGGCCGATGGCTCCTCGGGACCCAGCGGGAAACTGAACGTGTTTTCTGCTACTCCCAGGTGCAGATCAAAGCAGCCAAGCAGCGGGTGGTGATGGCCTCACTGTACCTGGGAACAGGGCTCCTTGAGCAGGAGCTGGTGAGTGTGGAGGGCTTTGGGAAGGGCAGGAAGGGAGTGCAGGGGAGGGATGTGGAAGGGAGGCACTAGGCATTTCTGGTTTAGACCTGGTACAGAGCCAGGGAACTGCTGCACTTCCTCAGGGGATAGTGAGCCTGGGCCTGTCAGAGGGGACCGACCTGGTGTTCGTAGTGCTCAGGGGGCTTTGCAGAACCTGCATCATAGGAATCTGTTTTTCCCTGGCATTTTTTTGAACATGATTCAAGCTATAGCTGTAGAGTGTTGTGTTTGGTGCTTCAGGTGCAGAACACAGATTCAGGATTGTCTTTTTGCATTTGAGACTGAGGTCAGCTTTGCCTTTTCCGTTCTTCCCTCTGGAAACAAATCATTATTGCCAAGGGCTTTAGGGAGAAGCCTGGCCTTGGTCAGGTTCTGGTGTTAGGATGCAAATTCTCTGGCAGGGTAAAGGTGGATGGAACCTGCACAGAATTTGTGCCCAGCTTTGTCTGGGCTTGCACACAGGATTTGAATTTGCATGTGACAAACAGCCTTGTAGTTAAAGAATAAAATGGCCTCTTCAGTGAACTCCTACCAAGGTTTGTCTTTGGTGATGCAAATCTGTGATTTGGGATTTTTTCTGCTAATATTAATTGCTCTTGGGAGGCCTGAAGAATGTGGGCATGTAAAACTGAGGCCCTTTGATCTGTGGCTTTAGGCTGCTGAAGCTGGCAGGCTGGCAGAGGCAAAGGCTGAACCGGCTGTGTTTGGCACAAGAAGGAAGGACTCACACCAGGGCGTGGGAGCTGTCCTGGCCACAGCCTCCTGCTGCTGAGCACTTCTCTTGCAAAGCTTTATTTGCTTTTGTAGTGAGGAGAGAACTCTCTCTGCAGGTGGATTGCTTAGAAGAAACGCTGGAGAAATCGCTGCAAGCAAAAGGCTCGCCTGACCTCAGAGTTTCCATTCTCCTGGACTACACCAGGGGCTCCCGGGGTAGGAATTGTGCTTTGCTTTTGTCAGAGCCTGATTTTGCTGTTAGGCTTGAGGAACTGTTTTTTTCATAGAGGCTGTCTTGGCCAATTGGACATACTTGCTTAAATCATGCACCTTTCAGTATTTGCCTTTTGCATTCCAGAGCTGCACATTCCCAGAAAATCTTCAAGCTGAGCTGCTTTTCTCCAAAAATAGGTGGTAGGAGCAAGAAGGGCCAAACTGCTCTGGGCAACTTATGCGTTCTTGCTTGGTTCACTTCTCAGTGCATTTGCCCTTATACCTCATGCTCACTAACATTTTCATTTTGAAAGAGAGTGGGAATTGTTGGAATTGTTGGAAGCAGCACACTGAATCAGGAACCTCTGCAGTGACTTGCAGATGTGTTACCAGTGCTGGTGAGGCTCGATTAAGAAGCTTGAAAGGTGTCAGAGCTGCTCTGTGACTGATCCCAAGGCCCATTCATCCGTGAACTTACAGTTCTGGATGTTGCTTTCAATATTGATGTAGTGCAAATGAAAGTGATTTGTTAAAAAAAACAAAAAAAGGGAAAACCAGTGATAGGATGCCAGCAGATAGGATGGAATGGAATGGGTGCTCACCCTGTAACTGCAACATGGAACTGTGCCCCGATGTGTCCCATCTGTGTGTGCCCCTTCTCTCCCAGGCAGGAAGAATTCTCGGACAATGCTGATCCCGTTGCTGCAGCGATTTCCCGAGAAAGTCCGTGTGTCCCTCTTCCACACCCCAAACTTGCGTGGACTTCTCCGGCTCCTGATTCCAGAGCGATTCAATGAGACCATTGGGCTGCAGCACATCAAGGTGTATCTCTTTGATGACAATGTGATCCTGAGTGGGTGAGTCCTGCTGCCTCTGGCCCTGGCATGGTTCCTTTTGCTGGGATTTGGGCAGAGTGTCTGTGCTGCCAGAGTTGTCTGAACATCTGGACTTTCCACCGTGATCCTATTACTGCTTTTCTGAGATGGGAGAGCAACTGCAGCTCTTCTGTATGAGATTCTCAGATGAAAGAGAGTCTTTCTTAAAGGGAAAAAAGAAAGATCTCTTGTAGCCTGGGCTGGGGGGTTGAGGATCCTGTGCCCATACTCTGAACTCAGCTCTTCCCTTTCTCTTCAGCGCAAACCTGAGTGATCTGTACTTCACCAATCGGCAGGACCGCTATGTCCTGCTGCAGGACTCTCCAGAGATCGCAGACTTCTTCACAGAGCTCGTGGACGCAATTGGAGACGTGTCCCTGCAGTTGCAGAGGGATGATACAGTCCAGATGATGGAGGGGATGGTACACCCATACCAAGGTAGGAGAGAGCTGTCTCACCTGGTTGAGTGATGGTATCCAGAGGAAGGAAGTGACAGCTGGGGTTTAAGGATGCCTTGAATTCCATCCGCTTGGGAATTTCTGGGTGCCCGACCGTTGTTCAAATTGTGGGGTTTCCTGTTTTGTGCCATCCAGTATTAAAATCAAAATTGCTCAAGTTTCAAGACTGGGTCTGTCAGAGTTTTCCCAGCACAGTGGCTATCACAGGCTAATCTGGCAGGGCATGCAGAGGCTGGAAGTAACTCTGCAACTGTCTCAGTGCTTCCTCATAAATGTACTGCTTTTGGCCTTAAACAAGAACTTCAATTCCCCGAGAGGTTTTTCTGATATTAGTGGCTGCAGTTTCGGGTGTTCTGGGTGTATGTGTTCTGAGCAGTTCATGAATGTGGTGCTATTGTTGGCAGTTAATGTTTTGTAGTAGACTTTGTTCCTGGAATCAAATGGGAATTGGATCAGGAAGACCGGGAACAAGCGTAGAAGCGGGCAGAGAAGGGCAGCGATGTGCCAGGCTGATTGCGTCATCAGGTTTTGTCCTGGCCTTGCACTGCTGGGTGATGTAAGCTTAGTCTGGGGGCGGGGGTTTCTTTGTGTGTTCCAGCTCATTCTTTGTTGCCAGTTTAGCCTTGTCCTGATCCTTTCCTTCCTCAGAGGATTTTTCAGGCTGCTGCCAGTTGCTGAATATTTCTCTTCTGTGACGTAGCTCTGCCAACCTTGAAACAGCTGGTTTGGGCCTCAGACCAGAAAGTCGTGTCCGCTCTGTTTTGGTTCCTGTTTGTTCCCGTATAGGTGTCCTGTCAGTATTTTTCCTGGTATGTAATAGGTGACACATAGCTCTGTGCCTGTCGGTCTCAGACACCATCTCTCGGGGTTTTCCTGCAGGAGACAAGGTGGCTTACTGCGAGATTGCCAACCGGAGGGTCATGGAGGTCATCAACTCTGCCCGGACACGGCAAGAGCTCCTTCATGCAAAGACTTTCCACAGCAGCCATCCAGGCAGCTCTCTGTTATCCCAGCAAGGCTCTCAAGCATCTGGGGGTCTGAAACCAGAACCTGACACCTGGATCTATCCCTTGATCCAAATGAAACCTTTTGGTATTCAAATAGATGAGATGGTCACAGAAACACTGCTGACCGAGGCTGAGCGGGATGCCAGGATATACCTCACCACTGGCTACTTCAACCTGACTCAGGCCTACATGGACCTCATCCTGGGCACGAGGGCTGAGTACCGGATCCTCCTGGCCTCGCCAGAGGTCAATGGGTTTTTTGGTGCCAAGGGGGTGGCAGGTGCCATCCCTGCTGCCTACGTTTATATTGAACACCAGTTTTACAGCGAGGTCTGCTACCTGCAGCAGCAGGAGAGGGTGCAGCTGCAGGAGTACTCCCGTGCCGGGTGGACGTTCCATGCCAAAGGTAAGATGTCCTTGTCCCAAGGGGACTTATTCAGAGGTGTGTGAGAGCTGCGTGTTTGGATTGCGCAAGAAGTGAGGGGCTGGCTGGGTGCCAGTCTGGGCTTAACCTTCAAAACACTCCTCCAAGGTCCGAACAGCTTGCTTGCGTAAACCTGGAGGGTTTGGATTGCTGGGGGGACAACTGTGCAGTCACGCCTTGCCTCTGGATTTCTGGTTTGATACAGTCCCAGGGATGATGCAAGAGCTGTCCCGTTGGTGGCACTGAGGCACTGCCTGGATGAGAAACATGGTGCAAAAGGAAGCATTTGGATGTGTTCATGATGCAGTCAGGGCTGTGGTGCAGTTTCTCATGTCCCTTGGTCTGGTTTCAGCAGTCAGAAGCGCAGGCTCTGCTGGGGACCCTGGAGCAGGATCTGGGACAGGGACAGGAGGGGAGCTGCTCCTGGGACCACCCCAGCAGTCCTGGCCACCGTGTTCCCTTGGCAGCAGGTCTGGGGGATTTGTTGCAGCTCCTGTGCATGGCACACAGGGGATGTGGTGTGTGAGGAACTGCAGAGTGTGCATCTGAGAGTCAGGGCAGCCAGAGGGGAAGGGGCTGAGGAAGGAACATGGACTAACATGCTGTGAGTTAATGCCGTCCTTGGGGTCTTCTGTAGGAAACCCCACATTCCTGCTGGATACAGTGTGCCCAGCTCTCACAGGCTCAACACAGTGCTTGATTGGAGTGTTTGGCTGTGAACTGGAGCATTTGAGTTGGGATAAGAGCGTTTTGGCTGTGATTGACTGTCATTGGAGAGGTTCCTCTTTTGGAGAGCAACTCTTAATGGTTGTGAGAATGCCTCCATCTCCCTGCTTCCCACATGGATACTCAGAGGAAGGCTCAGAGGTGGTGGGGAGGGAAAGTTGCTGAGTCAGCCTTCTCTTGACTTGAAAATCCACAGGTGTTACCGGCTGCCTCTTTGTTGAAACCACAAACAGATCTCAGGGTGTTGTGCTCCTCCTCAGTGCTGTTGGGAACTCAGCACAAGGAAACCCTTGTCTCAGGCAGGGCAGCCCAAGGGAGGTGCCTGCCATCCCGGCTGGGGTGTCCCATGTCCTCCAGGAAGCACTTGTTTGAGTGACCTGTGTTTCGCGGGTTCCGTGTTTGCTGGGCATCGCTGACTCCTGGTGGGATGTGATTTGGCATGGACTGAGCTCGGAAGCATGGGCTGCTTTTCTCAGCTACCAAAGTGCGTGTGGCCATTGGTCCTGTTTGGGCCAGCAGTGCCTCCTGGGGTAGTGCTTTGGGCTCTCTCTGCTGTGTGGTGTTCACTGGGAGGGGGATGCAGGGCTTGGAGTTCAGCGGCTCCAGTGCCTGGCAGGGGGACAGTTGGAGACATTTGCTTCGTGTTTTCATTCCTCTTCAGAGTGCTGGAAGGATCAGTGTGTAGCTCCTTCTCTGGCATGCTCTGCACTTGGCACATGCTTTATTCGCTGGGTTTCCTTCTGCAGGAGTCACATGATGTGTGTGACAGAGAGGACAAGGATGGAAGAAGGAAGGGAGAAACCTTGGAGACTGAAGAGCAGGTGTACATGGAGCACATGGAACCTGGCTTCTGGCCGAGGACATGAGATCCCCAGCAGCCAATAGTGCCCATTGGTGCTTTCTCTGTGGGCTGAGGCACCCTTTAGTCTCCCACAGGATCCAGCTGCCATACCTTAAACACTGTAGCTGTGCTGCAGACCCCTCCCGCTCCCCTTAAAGCATTTATATCTGCACACACAGCATCAAATGGCATGTCCCCAGGGATGTCTGTCCTCAGGGGTGACCGTCCTGGGTGTGTTCGGTGCTGTGCAGGTGTAGCAGTGCCGTGCAGGTGGAGCAGAGCTCAGCACAGGTGGGACAACACCGTGCAGGTGTAGCAGAGCACTGCACAGCCATGGTGCACGTGTGAGCAGGACTGCCAGCAGCTGTCCTGCTGTGACACCCTGAAGCCTACCTGTGCTCTGCTGTGTTCCCAGGTATGGTGGTGTGAGTGACATGGGTATGTCCCTTGGGTTCAGGGTCTCTTCCAGGCAAGTGCTGGTGGCAGAGTGCTGGACAGGTGGCTCTGTGCTGAGAGATAAACCCTGTTACTGCTATTGACTGGTGCTGGGAAGCTGCACTTCCCCTTTCTGGAAAGGTGAGTCACTGAGCAGATCCTGCCAGGTGGCCATAAAAACAGAGCCACAGGACACTTGGGAAGGTGAGGAACCTGTTCCTTGTGGCTACTGCCTGGGCAGAGGTCTGGCCAGCAGCTGGTCAGGCACCAAACAGCTCCTGGTAGGGTCCTGTTTGGTGACAGAACATGCCAAATCTCTGTGCCACACGAGTGCTTCCCTGTGGCTCCTGGAGCCCACAATGGGCTCTCCGGCCCCTCTGTGGTGGGGTGAGCCCGCGGGGGCCGGGGGTGCTGTGGCCTTAGGGCAGTGCCAGCTCTGTGAGTGTGTGCTGTGGGGGCGGGGAGGAGGTTACAGGAACTGGCGGTGAATCGGCAGCGTCTTACTCAAGGCATTCTTGGAACTGCTCTGGGGCTGAGTTAGGAAACTTGCTGCTATTTTAAGGCTGAGGCGGTTTTCATGCTAGGGGTTCTTTGTTGCAGTTTGTGACTGGCCGTGGGGATAAGCCTCTACCAGGGACCCACCCAGGGCTGTGCTAAGGAGAGCAAATGCTTCCCGGCTCCATTTGTGCACAGTGGCCATGCAGCCTCTTCTTGGCAGCAGTCCCGGCTCTCCTGTGGCTGTTCCTTCCTGCCCTGCTGCAGTGGTGTGTTTGAGAATAATGTGTTGTTTCCATCTTTGCCTTGAAAATCCATCCTGGGCTGTGTCCCGACTGCTCTCTGTGCGGGCAGAGCTGTGGGAGCTGTGATGGTGAGTGGCTACAGGGACCAGGTGCCCTGGCAAGAGTCTCATCTCATCCCCGGTGGCTCCTCAGGAAGTGAGGTGGTGAAATAATTTGCACTTGTCTTCTGAGTCTCTATTTCATGTGAATTCACCTGTCAGAGCAGGGTCATGTCACAGTCCCATGAAGGTGGTTGGTCTCTGGGACAGGCTGGACAGACCTGGGGCTCTGAGGCTGGTTCCTTCACTGAAAAGCTGTTTGTCTTCTTTCAGTGTTTCTGAGATTTACCATGGTGCAAAACAGCCTCTAATGCAGTGACAGGGACTTGTCCTGAGTTGTTTTGGGACAGTGTGTCCTTGGGGTTCTCTGAGGGTGCTGCACCCCTGGTCAGGGCACTCCGAGGAGCAGGGTTTGGGCCTTGCCTTGGCACCCCATGAGTAACATGCAGTGTCATGGCCCTGTGGGCTCTGCTGGGCTGCCTGATGCTCTTGGGGTCCTGTACAGAATCTATAATCCACATTTAATGGGTTTAATTCCCTCTGAGTGAAGGGACAGTGTGAGCCCACCTTGGCTGTCCCCTCAGGCTGCCACGCTGCCTCTCCTCTCGTTTTTCCCACAGGCCTCTGGCTGTACCTGGCAGGGAGTGACCTGCCCTGCCTGACCCTGATCGGCTCTCCGAATTTTGGGTATCGATCAGTTCATCGTGACTTGGAAGCCCAGGTTGCGATAGTGACAGAAAATAGAGCCTTGCAGCAGCAGCTCCATCAGGTAAGCAGAGAATTCTGGGGAGGCAACGGGGATGTTGTGCTTCTGGGTCACGCAGGGAACGCTGATGACGCAGTGGCAATAAAAACATCCAGCTATAATAACTCAAAAGCTGCTGGAGCGTGAGGAGTCCTGAGGAGCTGTCAGTGAAGTGACTATTGATGAGCTGCCTGCTGTGAGTGCCCACTGCTGGGAAGCGAGGCCGTAACAGGAAGGAATGTGTGTCCCCAGTGACCTTGGATACCGGGAGTGCTCGGGGCTGGATGTGCAGAGAGCATTCAGAGAGCCTGCTGGCTCCTCTGCTCACCGACCACACTGCACCTTCTGGGCCTTAATCCCAACATTTGGGCATTGCCAAGGCTGTGCTGTGCTCTGAGGTAATGAGGCCAGGCCTTTGGAACGGCTGAGCTTGGACTAGAAGAGGATTTCTGAGCTGGTTGGGTTGCTCATGAAGTTCTATGACATAATTCATATCTTGAATAATAATATGACATTATATAATATTGACACAATAATTTTTCACTGGTTTGATGTTCAGTGTCCCAGGGTTTTTCTGTGCTGTTTTTGGTTTAATTAGGCAGCTTAGAGTGCTCAGCAATTCTGGTCCTGCTCCAAATCCTGCCTGGTTCTCTAACTGTCTTGACTCCGAATCTTCTGCTAGAACTGTCTGTCCCAAGTTGTTTCTCCTGTAGTGCTCTGCAACAAAGCAGATCGATTTGGTGCCTCTGTGCGACTTGGGGACCTCAGAAATGCACTCTGTGAGGCAGGTCCTGGCAGAGTTGTCTGCAAGATCAATGGGAATTGCCCTCTTGCATCAGGGCTCTTCCCCGGGATGAGTCAGAGTGTATCTAATCAAAAACGATTCTATTACTGGAAGAGTTGCTTGAATATTTCAGTTCATATCTTGCCTCTGCTTGTTTCTAATGGAAGGGGAGAATCAATGGAAATGTGACACAAAGGAATTTTCTCACACAGGGCTGCAGTGATCTCATTCAAAGGGCTTTAAACCATTCCCGATTGCTGGAAGCTGATTCTGAGATGGGCTGGGTGTTTACTTTCTGTGGTCTTTTTTAGAAGACTTAATCTGTTCCTGGGATGCTGCCATGAAATCACTTTGTCTGTGTAACATTTAGTTCCATTTTAAAAATGCGTGCTGAGATTTGGGAAGAAATGTGAGTGGTCTGGGTGTCTGCATGCTCCTCTGAATGGACTGAGCTTGATTCAGGGAACTGGCCTTGCCTCCAGCTCAGTCCTCACTGTATTGCATGGCTGTGGAGCAGAATCTGCACAGCAGGGCTGACTATAGCTCTTGGAGCATTTGAGGCTCTAAAATTAGGGTGAATTAGCACATGCATGTCTTCCTTCTGTTGTTGGTTCACCTTTTTGGTGTTACTTTCCAGTGCTTGGTTCCTGCTTACCTGTTCTACCCTGAATTTAAGTAGTGCAGAGTATTTTCTGCTGTTTGTGACAGCTTCACTAATGAAAAAAGACGATGAACAGACTTCCAGGACCTGTTCTGCTCCTTGTTTGCCTGCAGGTCCTGAAACCTGACTGGCTGTGCTAACAAACCCGCTCACCTGTGATCAAAGCGCTGCTCTCACGTGCTGTGAGCGTGTGTTATCAGCAGGGTGGTTCATTTCCTCCCTCAGCAGTCGGGTACACGCTGCGGGGGCCCGAGTGTTTCTGGTAATTTAGCTGAGATCACGACTGCACATTCATCTGAAAACGCGGCGCCTGAGCTGTGTCTAGAAAGAACCGCGTAAGCCGGTCCCGGGAGGTTTGGGTGAGGTTTCCTCTTCTGGCAATTACAGCCAGGGATTGAGGAGTTTTCTGAAACTGAAGCTCAGCTCTTGCAACTGTGGGGCACAAAAAGGCAAAACCCTCTGCCCTTGCTCTCTGTAGAGTTTAAATTGCTAATTCTTGAGGAGAAATGATGCAGCCTTTTGGCAGGATCCCTGGCCAGCTCTGTATGAGAATTCACTTCTCTTAAAGACCGTTATATAATTCAACACTTGAGATTTACTGCGATGATGTTTCTTTCCCTGTCTAGGAGCAGGAACAGCTTTACCTCTGCTCAGGTGTGGTCTCAACGTCAACGTTTGAGCAGCCAAATCGTTATGTGAAGCTGTGGGTGAAGCTGGTGACACCTCTGATCAAGAATTTTTTTTGAAAGAAGAAAAGCAGCTGCTTTGGGTGAGTTTGCTGCCATTATGGGGAATTTATATTGCACTGACTGTAGTGAATAGCTGTAGTGTTTTGTTACATGGAAGAAAGAGACAATGGACACACAGATGATGTGGGGAAAACCAGGCACCTCATTTCCTCTGAGATACTGACTGCCATGGATTGGGGTGTGCTCAGGTCCAGATTGAGTTTCATCTACTAAAACTTCTGGAAGGGTCACTGACAGAGAACCCATACAGGGTTATTTCCCATGACCCATACAGGGGTATTTTCCATGCATGGAAATAAAACTCCTATTTCTGAAATGTCCCTTTCAGAGTTTTGTGGAGAAGGACTGTGTTTGTTTTATCTTGTCCAGCCAATAGAAAACGTTGCTGTAATACCTAAAATGTTTTGTCCCTGTATCCAGTCAGAGCTTTGCTTTGTCCCATAGGTGTTGGTTAACAAGGGAGGTTGGTTTTGCTTTTCTGCTTTGTGGTATCCTGGGTTTCCTGGCTCTTTGGGTGCCCCATGACTCGAGCCCTTCTGAGCTTCAGGACATGGCTCTTGGACTGTTCCTATGCAGTTGGCACTGGTGTGTGTGCCCAGGATGCTGCGTGTTCCCACATCCCTTTTACTCACCTAACTGTGGCCTCCCCCTTGGCGGAGTGTGCCTGACTCCTTTACATTCAGATACGTTACAAGTGTCTTTCATGAGTTGTGGAGGGACAGAAGAAGACTTTTGGTGCTCATGTGGGTTTAGGATGTTACTTACTGAAAATGGGAGGCTCGAACCCTAACATCCTGAAAAGAAAGTGGTTGGAAGCCAGGTAAAAACATGTGAGAGCACAGGCTGGGGCTGCTCTCTGTCACTGGTGGGGTATGAGCAGGGGGTTCTGATCTGATAGTGCCACAAACAGAATTTCTGGCTCCTAAGAAAGGCTGATGGTAAGTGTGAAGCTCGGTGGTAACTGATAATAAATGCTGCTGCTCTATAAAGAAACGAGCAGCTCTCCGTGCCTGCCCTTTGGGCTTCTCTGACCATGAGCTTGGAGGGAAGCTTTAGGCAACTGTATTTTAGTACTAATTGTTCAAATATTTCACAGGGTGGGATTTTGGTGAATTGATTTATGTTAAAGGGACAGGCCTTGGCCCTAACGTGTGTTACTGCTGATACAAATGATTTGTTGTAAAGAAAGGACAGAGTAGGTTCTGTACCCTAGAAATAGAAATAATGTACCTCAGAGAGTGACCTGTTTTCAGCTGGACCTTCTCTGGGCTGTGGAGGTGGAGCACAGGTGAACTGGGCTAAATCTGCACCTTTCTTCTCCAGCCAGACACGTGCTCTGTGCCCGGGGCGTGAGGAGTTTCTGCTCAGTTTGCACTGAGCCATCACACAAAGAGCTGTGGGAAGACAGAGAGCCAGGAGAGGGAAAGGAGTCGGCCACTTGTGTGCAGTTGTTCCGTTTGGCTTCCCACGGTGGTCTGGCTCCCCACCAGCGCCGCGTCAGAAACCACCAGTGGAAAACCAGTATCCGCCCTGAGAACCCCGTGTGCTGCAAGAGCAGGGTCCTCACGGCAGCGCTGCCAGCACTGGTTTTATTGATACTTTGCTAAAACGGTTCTGAATTACACAACTTGGAGGCTTTTACAAGTAAAAGCATTTGCTGTTTTCCATTGACATTAAAATTCAGGCCTCTAGGAGCAGAGCCACACCAGCCAGGACCCACTTGGCGGCTTTTTCTTTTGTCTTCAGGTTGAAGGTCCAGACGTAGGTGGGCCCTCGCATCCGTGTCTTATAGACGGGACATTCATAGACGTTGGTGGTGTCCACGCGGTCCACAGGGATGGCTCTGAGCAAGATGACCGGCATGGTGGGCGTCAGCTCCTTCAGCAGCGCGTCAGCAATCGACCCCGAGGCGACGTCCCAGCGCGCACCTGCAACGTGACAGCGGCGCTGGGTGACCCTCACACCTGCCCCGGGCTTCTCACTGCAGGGGCTTTGTTCAGAACTACTGATGGGTGGGAGCTGGAGGATGAAGGGTGGGTAGAGTGGCTCAGTAGTGGTTAGGGCTGACGTGTCCTCAACTCACTGTGACCCAGGACTGCATTTGCCTTACTGTGTGTGGGATGTCTGAATAAATTCTGTCCCCAGCCCTCCCTTCAGCACGGCTTTGCATGGGAATTGCAGAGCTAAAGGTGAACTGGCTGTGGTGGGATCTACCACACACTGTCCTGTGTGCTCTGTGCTCTTGTCCAAGCGGACCCCTCAGCTCCTCTGCTGAACTGCCTCCTTCCCCTTCATTTCAGCAGTGATTATTATAGGTTTGAGTTTTCCGATTTGTCTTACTCATACATCAAATAAGAATGTGACACATTGAATCATTAGAGCCCTGTGGCTCCAACCACCCCAGCCCTGGGGCTCATGAGCTGCAGCCTGAATGGCCAAAACACGAGTTTCTGGTTTGTAAAGGCTGCGTGATCCGGGCAGTGCTGCCCTCACCTGGCGTCTAAGCCTGGAGCCAGGGCTCTGCACTCTGCCAGAGCCGGGCAGGGCAGATCGGCCAGCAAGTGCCAACACCTGCTCTGCTGCAGGGGGGAGAAGGGCTGAGCTGGGCCTGCTCCATGTCTGAAACATCTCAAAGATGCAGTTTTTACCTTCCATGAATAGCCCATGCACATAGGAGCCTTCTCTAGGTGGAAATGTTATGTCCTCCCGGGTTTTCTTGGTCACATCCGTTGCCAGACACATCTTATCCAGTGGCCACTGCTTTTTCCTGGCTGTGGACTGCATGATGGCCGTGAGGAAGGACTGGGGGTTGAAGAATCCTGCCAGCCACACTGTTGCAGGCAGCACAAAATCTGTTGCCCAGACTTCCAGTTCCTGGAAAATAAACCAGCAGAGTTCTTCAGGGTGGAGGGTGGGCTGTGAACCGCAGGACACTGCACCAGGAACAGTGGGATAGAGCTGACACTTCACTGCCTAACCCAAGCTTCAGGTAATCTTGCAGAGTAGGGGACTGGCTGGAGGTGGTGTGGGATGAATAAACAGCAGATTCCCCTGCAGCAATGAAGGTGAAATTTGCAGTGCAGGAAATACCACTGTTATTTTTTAACAAAGCCAGTTTTATTAAATTTTTTTTTTTTAGGGACACCCAGAGTTGTGATGGGGGGAGCTGATGCTCTTTTGCTACAGTGATGTACTGTAATGGGAACCCTGATCAGATTTGTGCTCTCATCCCTGGGGAAACAGCCCCTTTCAGGTACTTCAGGCTGCTTAAAGTGATACTGAGAAATAAACCAGTTAGCAATAAACCAGTGCACTGGTGGGGAGAGTTCTGGTGTCAGCAGTACCCACTCGCACCCTGAGCTCTGACTGAGTTCATCACAGGAACTCTGCTCACCCTGATCCGCACGAGCAGGTCCGCATACCAGGTTCCCAAGCTGAGGAGGGAGGGATAAGCGTGACGTGTCCAGGATTCTGGAATGCTGTCATAGAAGAGAGCATTTGCCAGCTCTTCCATCTCTGATGTAATTGTCAGCTCTCCCTTTGAAAAAGAGAAAAGCCTGAGCAGTGACCTGCAGCCAGTGGTGGGACAGGCAGAGGGATGTGCTTGGGCTCAGACTGGAGCAGAGCAGGAGCCTGAGGCCACCTGGCCACACCCACCACAGTGCTATGGGTAAGAGCTCCAGCAAGGGCACACAGTACTTTGGAAATCCTGGGAAATGATCCAGGCAGCTGCCTGTTCCATACCTGCAGTCCCAGGTCCAGCTCCTTCAGCGAGCGCCTCATCTCATTGGTCAGGATGTTCATCCTCTCACATTCCTGGAGGGCAACAACCGTGTACGGAGTCTTTTCCTTTGCCTTTGCCATCAGCTCCTCCATATTGAATGGCTCTGGCAGCTGCCCAAGGATCTCATCCAGGACTGACTTCACCTGGAATGAGAATGCCATAAACTGCTCTTACCCAGGGAAAAATGCTGCAGGGTTATGGTTAATTAGGTTGGTAAGATTTTTCTTTTTCTGCCTTGGTGTTTCCCTGTGCTGCCTCCTCTGTTACTAATGCTCCATTCTGTTTCTAACTGCTCTTGGCTCTTTAAAAGCTGTAGCTCTTCTTTGATAGCCAAGGAAGTCAGAGCTGAGGCCATGGAGACTGTGAAACTCATATGTCAGGTCCAGGCAGTCAGGAAGAAGCCTTTTTTTTTTTTTTTTTTTTAAATTTTATTTTATATTTTAAATTTGTATTTTTAGTAGTTGCCATCATGAACAGAGGTTCCTCAGCTCTCTCCACCTGCTGAGAAGCCCCATGTAAGCCACATGTTGCCAGAGGTGCATCTCAACCCCATCAGAGCAGGACCTTCCTGACTGCGCTGCCGCTGCCGTACGTGCCGCTGTCCCCGGGCTGACAGCCTCAGCACAGCTGGGCTGGAATCACCTCCTTCTACCACCCCTTCCTGATTGTTATGAGTCCTGCTCTCTCTGTTGTTTCTGGGCCTGCATCTGTCCCCCACCCCCTGGCCTCTCAGCTGTCACCATTAAGAGGGGTTTTTTTTTCTCCATAATAAAAATAACCACAGATTAAAAAAAAACCCTCAATTAATTTCTTTTGTAAAGAGACAGGACTTGACATGCCTGTTCCTCCCGGGAGCCACCTGTGCCTCCACCAGCCTCAGATTCCTTGGGCTGCAGTTCCAGGACCGTGCGGAAGAGCCTGTCCGAGGTGACGGTCAGGAAGCCCATCTCTGCGTTGGGGTGCAGCCCGTACAGGTGGGGGCTCTCGCCTGGCAGGTTGTCGTCGACGTACTGGTGATAGTCCTGAGTGCAGGGCAGGGCCAGTGTTAGCTCAGGAGGTACAGGCAAAGGAGCCCAAACTTCCCTGCAGCCTTGAAAACGCATCACTGCCCTCAGGGGCCCTTTGCAGCACCTGCCTGTGCTCATGGAGGCTATTTTTTTTTCACTCATGTCCCACCCTCCTGCCCCAGCCACAGGAATTATTTTTACAGCAATCCTAGTTCCAGGGGATTGACACTCTCTTTCCCTACATACCCCTTAGTGAACGTGGGGGAACTTGGACTCGTGTGCATTTATCCAGAGCAGGGGTTTTCCATAGCAAATTGCAATGTTTGTCTTTCTTACCTGGTAATCCAAGCGGGGAGGGACTGGAAACCCTGGAGCCAACAACACCTCCCCTTCCAGCATCTCCGGCTGGACATACTCGCTCAGGTACGTGCGGCACAGCCGGCGGTCCCAGTCGTCAGTGATGTGCCCTCCGTACATGATCTCACCAAAGAGGTACCGGAGATCATCCCATGGTACCTGTGGGGAGAGGCTTGAGCTGGAACTCCTGTGCAGCTCCCCTGGAGTCCCCCATGCAGCAGCAGGGCCGCAGAGTGACAGCTCTGGGATTGACCTGTCCAGTGTGCAGGGAGGTGAGTCCCTGGGCTCACAGAGGCTCAGGGACAGTGAACAGGATCTCATCTGGAGTGTCTCTTGTTCACCCACAGATTTCTCCCTGTCTCATGGACACAGCTGTCTGTGCTTTGAATCCCATCATCCCATCTTTACTCCAACCAGCATCAATTGTATCTGCAAGGGCAGGTCTAAGGGCGAGACTTCAGCCCTGATCACCACACCTTCCTTCTCTGGGCAGCAAACACCAAGGCACAGGTCAGGGCAGGCACTTGTCCCAGTTGGTGCCTGATGCCTTTTTCTACTCAGCTCAGTGGGGCCAGGGACTCAGCCCCTTCCCCTGCCTGAGTGTGTGGGGACCAGGGGAGGAGCTGCTGCCAGCCCTGGGCTTCTTCATGAGACAGTGTTTGTGCTGCAAACTGGTGAAGGTTCTGAGAAAGGCTGATTGTTGCAGTGTGTGCTGTGTGTAGAGTGGTCACCTCGTCATCCCTCACCTTGGCGTTGGCCTCCAGGTAGTTGTGCAGGACGTTAACGGAGACGGTCAGGTCGCCGCTGTTGAAGGGGTAGGGCCTGTTCCAGCCCTGGGTGCCAAACCTGCGCCGCTCGGCCACCGCTGCGTGGAAGTAGCAGAGTGCAAACAGGATGCACCTGAACTCAGTCTCTTTGCTGCACTGCTCCAGTGTTTCCTGTGGGGGAACAGTGATGGGGGGTTGCAGGTGAATATTGCTATCAGATGCCCCTCTAGTTAAGAACGTTCATTGGCAAAAGAGAACTGAAGGTGTTTATTAGAAAAAAAAAAGGCATAAAATTGTATTTTAATACTTTGCTAGTTGGTAATTTTTGCACTCATTTGTTTACGGAAGAATTAGGATGCCACACCCCAATGCCCTGCTGACAGCTGAGGCATCTTGTTCATGCTAAAACTGCAGCAGCTCCAGGTTCAGTCTCAGGAAAGGCATTGGCAACCTGGCACTTCCTTGTGTCTGGAGCCCTCGGGCAGCTCTGGTTACCCTGGCAAATGGGGGCTCTGAGCACTACAGGAGGATGTCCCGGGGCGGGGGGCTGGCTTGGGGTGCAGTGTTTCTGGCTGCAGTGACACCCCCCAAAGATGCTCAGCCTGTGGAACCCTGGGAGGGGATGAGCCAGACACACTGGCCTGAACGGTCCCGAGGAGCAGCTGTGGAAGGGCGGGGGGTGGTGCGGGGGGTACCTGGCAGAAGAGGTCGAGGGCCCTGTGCAGGTTGGCCCGCATGCCAGTCGGCGGCTCGCTGGTGATTTTGATGGAGTTTTCCAGCAGCCCCTGTGGGATGATGTGCGACTCGGGGCTGGGGGCCGGCTCGGCGCTCATGAACAGCCGGTACTCGGGGTGGCTGTCCATGCTGTGCTGCTCCACCAGCTTGTCCAGTGTGTCCAGCCACCGGGCCACCAGATGGATGTTCTGCAACAGGAACAGCCTGTACCTCATGAATCTCACCTCCCCCCCCCCTGCCAAATTCCTACTATTGCTCCCCAGGGAGAAGGTGCAGCATGACAGGACACCACTTGGGCTGGATACACCCTGCTGGCCCCAGCAGTGTCACTGCCATCACCAGTGGGGTGACTGTGTACTGTGTGACTGGATACTGGCAGGGCTGGGTGCCCTGGTGTGCCCGGCTGCCGTCAGGGCTGTGTCCTGTGGTGCACCACAGTGCCCCCCACCCACCTGTAGGATGACCCAGTGGCCCTGCTCAGCGGCCACCTCCATGGCCTGTTCTGCCACAACCTCCTGGCCCTGCCCCAGTGACACGTTGTGGATCTTTCCATTGTCGATGGTGAAGT